CTGCCTCCTGCCCTAAATTATCCCTCCTTAACCCTGTAATCCTCCATTCTGCTGTCTTCTGGCTAACTGTACATTTGCTAAAGCGTGCATTTATTTTACACCTGCTATACACATGGGTTCTGCAAAGGGTAGAAAATGAAAATTCTACTTACAAATGATTTGTACCATCAAAGGGCTGACTTGGGGTCTGGTAAGTATGTAGCAAATGAGGAAGCATGTGATCAGAGCTAGAGGAGAACTAGGCTAGGCAAGGCTCACAAGACCTAAGCAGGGTGTTGTGAGAGGGCATTCCAGAGAAAGGTCCCAGCCTATGAGAAGGCCATGAGGCATGACACAGCATGCATATTTGAAGCTAGAAAGCCTATTAGCAGGCTGAGGAAAGCTTTTGTGTGAAGGAGGAGCAGACAACAAAGCCAGAAAGAAGATGGGTGCCAGTACATCATGGGTAAACTAGACTGGAAAAAGCTCTGGAGATGGACAAAGTATATTAAGCAGGATGCAGCTTTGTCCACAGCTTCCCATGCAGTAGAGGGAGGAAAGGAGGAAATTAGTGACTTTCAGAAGACAGGAACAGATGGAATTGTCAGGAGCTGGTGACTTCATTAGTAGTGGAGGTGACTGGGAAACCTAGCTTGCAGAGAGAGGGAATCTTAAGTTGACAAGCAAGTTTCAGAAATGCAAGCATGCACTTTTGCAATTGAAATACCATTGTTATTACTAAGTGGTGCTGTCTGGAAGACAGGAATGTGTGTCAGATTCTCTGCAGAGTTCTGGGTACTGAATGGACTTGGGTGTTAGGGGAGGGAATCCCCATCTGATTCTCTCCAGCAAATGTGCATTCTGCTCCCCACACCTGCACCTCTGGTCTGTACCCCAGTTTCTGTATGCACAAATAAATAAATCTTTAAAAAAGAAGAAGAAGATGGCAACTGCCTCTGGATGTAGGCTTAGAGAAAATAGATATTTAATGGGAAGATACCCAACTGCCCCCAACACAGACGTTACTGGAAAGACAAAATGAACATTGGGCAGGACTTAGCATTCTGTATTCTACATTTAAATCACTTCATAAAACTTACCCCGCCCCTCTAGGCAAATTTTCATTTGACTGGCTGCTTTTCCAGTTTTTTTGACCACTCCACCCAAAACTAATAGAGCAGGCAATCACTTGTTGAATTAGACCTTTTAAAAAGCTTGATATCTGGAATAAAACATTTTTAAAAGATCCACTTAGTAACAAAAAGAAAGGGAAGTATAAGGTTAGGAAAAAGTAAGTACAACTAGTATCATTTAAGATCAGAAACCTGGATCCTTGAACTCTGCCTCCATTCATCTTCATTTGGGCCGTGACCACTGCCACTTGGACAAAGGGCCCAAGCCCTGCCCACTGGGTGGCTCTTCCCAAACATTCTCTCTCTCCACTTGGCGAGAACACCCATCTCAGCACCATTGCCCTGGGGAGGACAAGTCTCCTTCGCTCCTGAACTGCCTCAGCTTCCCTTGACTAAATCTGAGAAGCTGGAGGAGTGTGATAGATGCGGATCCACCTTCCAGGACAGAGACCAGCTCAGAGAAAAAAAAAAAAAAGAAGCACAAAGATCTACACGTGTTTTCTTGTTCTTGAAGCCGGTAGCCATATAAGACTGATTCAGATAACAACTACAAAGTTTTTTCAGCATCTTGGTGAAAGGGTATATGAATAAAAGACTGTTGAATGGGATATTAAGTAAGAGGGGTTTACTCTGACATGTACTTTGAGTCAGAGTTGGCCTTGGCTGTACTTTATCTTACCCTGTTATTGAACTGGTTCAAAAAATTGTGAATAGAGATCAAAGCAGTTTAAATAGATTCATCCACTTGTGTAAATATCCTTGAACTCCCCCCCCACCCCCGTCTTCCGCTCCCCCCTCCTGTTGCCAGATCCATTCACCACCTCTAGAGGTGGTTAATACATGTAATGATTGTAATAAACATCGTATTTGCTCTGGTTCCAGCTGGCTCCAACCACCAAACTCTGCCCATAGTTCCTATTGTTATCTTTTGCTTAGTAGACAATTGCATTGTTATCATTAGAAACCGCCTTTGTCATAGATTTCTAAATGTTGATCTTATACATTGCATCCATTGTTGCCCTCAACATATTTTTAGGTTTAAATTACCCATTATGTTTTCTTTTTAAGAATACTTAGAATCATTAAACACAGGGCTCTTGGATAGAAGTCAGTTGATTATACAGTTGAAAACTTTTCTTCATGCAGTACAACTTTGACACATTTTTATCAGTTTTGCCCATCTTTTATAAAGCTTTCAAGTAAAACATGTAAACCTGGTTATATGTGACTTACATTGGTAAACTAGGCAAACTTTCATTAAAAGCCTTTAGAAGCACAGAAGTGTAATAATTCCTATACAGCCAAATTTATATATTATTGTCAGAAAGATTTGTTATAATTTGTACCCAGAAACTTGGAACTTAGATATTTTAAATCCTGTGGCCTTACCAAAATTGTCATTATTTGATATATTGAAATTTTCAGTGACTTAAAGTGAGGATTGAAGGACTCTGGGTCAGAGCAGCTACATACTTGGGCTGTCTGGATTTTTGTGATTGGCTTGATAAGTAATGTGTATATTTTAGAAATTAACCCTTGTCAGATGTTTGATGTGCACATACCTTCTCCTAGATTGTAGATTACAAGAAAACAGGAAGGAAGAGAAGAAGCATGGAAGTTTAGTGGAGGGTAAATGAAGCATATATGCACATATGGAGGAGTGAAAATGAAACCCCAAGGTTACATAGATACGTAAATGACTTGGATTCATCAGAGAGAAAGAGAACAAAGTGTAAGAAAGCAGAGGCAAGGGGTAGAAGTAAAAACTAAATCCCAGAATTAGACACTCTTCCTAACGAAAGTAGTAAGTACCTTCATTTTGACGAATGACTGGTAAGTGAATTTGCCCCATTATCTTCTAGAAGTGATCGCCTTAAAACCCTCACTAATTTGATATTTATTAAACCCCTGTTGTTACGTGCACAGCATCGTGGTAGGCATTTGCAGCTATAACCATGGATCTCGTTGGGTTCCTGCCCTCAGGAGCAGCCACGTGAGGACATTGGTACAAGGGATGACTTTCAATGGCAGTCAGTTCAGGTGGTAAGGGACTGGACATTGTAAGATAAGTGAAATGACCGTGTATGAAGAGAAGTGAGTGCTTCTCTGGTGAGCAGGATAGTGAGTGGTCAACACACCCATAGCAAGAGTTAGGGGCTATGTTTGTATAATTGAGTGGTAACAACATAGGCAGCAATTAGGGGTATCTGAAGAAGGTTTTAAAAACAGGAAAAAAATGATAAAGAACTCCAATGGCTCTGCCTTGGAGGTAAGAGGCCTGTGTTTTCTAAAAGCTCTGTGGATGATTCTGGTACACAGTCAAAACTGAGAGCTACTAGGATGGTCTCATATTGACTAGGCTGTATGGGATATGAAAGTCCTATGGAAGATGATACTGGGAAAAGATACTGAAGCCAAATGATAATCAAAGTTTTGGTGTTGTAAATTGGTTTGTTTATTTTCTTTTTTTAATTTCCATTATATCACCACCATTTCTTCATGAAATATATCAACCAGATAGCCCTTACCAAAGTGTGATCCCTTGTGTGAATTCAAAGCAAAACATGCTATAACTGTGTTGAAGAAGAGACGCCAGTCTAGAAACTTGTTCCATTAGATATTGCTGTCTAATCCTTCCACCCCTGAAACTTAAAGGACAGCCATTTAATTATCACTTAAAAGCCTGTGGGTTGACTGGATTCAACTGGATACTTCTCATATGACACCAGCTGGGGCTCTATCATTGGTAGGTCAGTGGGAGTGGGACTTGCATCGTTAGTGTGGCTCATTCACTTGACTTTCAGCTGAGAGCTCAACTGGAATTATTGACTGGAAAATCTGAATGGATTTCTCACTGCATTTTAGTTGGATCCAAGATCAAGCCCAGGCTACCAGGTTTCTTAGAATCTAGATTCGGTAGTGTTTCATATTACTTTTACCATATTCTGTTTATCCAGCAAGTCATTAAATCAATGCAGATTCAATGGAAGGTCATTTAGATTCACTCCATCCCTTGGTGGTAGAAGCAGTGTATTCATACGAAGAGAGACAGAAATTGATAGCAATCATTTTTCAGAGAATTGCTATGCAGTCTCAATGTACCCAGTACTGTAGCATCAAAATATATAAAGCAGGATTTCAGGCAGTTTAGAAAGACAAAATATTAAATGAGGATAAAAGAAATATGAGTGATATGAAATGGGTATGTAGTAGATTTGTATATTAAATTCCTTATCTAACAATACAGATACAGCTTCATTTCAGGCATCCGTATAGACGGTATACACACACAAACACACACACACACACACACACCGAGAAGCACTTGATTATACACTCATAAATCTGAGACCTTACAGAAAAGTTTTCCTACCTCACAACTTAGCAAGTTCTTAATTTTTTGTTTTCTGCAAAGAGTGGCATAGATGGGGGCTTTCTTATTATTTCCTACATTGTCATGATGAGAGCAGTTTTGACACATCCTGGGTGTTCTGTGTACCTCAGCAGTAACTGCAGTTATCTCCTGATTTTCTAAGAATGCTGAATTGAGCATTGAGTAGAATCATTGTCATTCCCTGTCCTCCATGTATTTTTTAAAGCTCCTTTAGGAAAAAAGTAATTTAATTTTTTAAGTCTGCTTGATTTTCTGAAATGTATTTATTTTATCATTCTAGTAAGATACACAGTCTAAGGGGGGGATCCCAGGTTGTGGGGATGACGTAACTTCCTGATCTGTCAGTAGTGAGTCCAAGTCACTAATTGCTGTGTCTCAGTGTCCTCATATGATGTATAGCAATTCTTTCCAAACTGGACCTCAGCAAGAAACCACCCAGGATGAGGCCTTTAAGGCACAACTTCAGTAACATGCTGATCTGTTTGCCTTTGCAGGTCGTCACGCTGTGGTACAGAGCACCAGAAGTCTTGCTTCAGTCCAGCTATGCCACCCCGGTGGATCTCTGGAGTGTTGGCTGCATATTTGCAGAAATGTTTCGTAGAAAGTAAGAAAACCTTTTGTTTTACTCTGTCTTCCTTGGAAAGAAACTTCTTTGGTACTGGGTAATTTAAGGGGCTATATGGCACTTTTGTTTCAAGTAGAGCTGTGAATCCAGGTGTACCTGCTTTAGTCTGCCACATTCAAGCCTACCCTGAAACCTCAGTCCCTACAAGGTAGTTTTATAGCCTCCAGCTTTTGGGAACTCTGGAAAGTAATGTTCCATTACTTTTATAATTGATACTGTTTTTGTAGTGGTGATGGGATGTAGTGAACCATGTATTATGTTGTTATATTGTTCTAGTGAAGAAATATCCTCAGGGTGGACTTTGTTCAAAGGAGGCGTGCGAGGCTGTTAAATAATTTTGATGGTGAGAATTGTTGAAAAAATAGATTTACTAAACTAAAAGCAATAGGCAAAAAAAAAAAAGAGGTCAGCATTGTTTCAGAATACTTTAAATGCTGTCATCTGGAGGAAAGATGAGACATTTTTGGGCGCTATACAGAGCAGCACTAGTTGCTGAAAAGGTATAGGATATATCTGAAAAGAATGTTATTTGTAAAACTAGTGAATCCTTTGGGTACACAAGAAGAGGGTGAACCTCAACATATTGGAGGTATTTTCAATGACTTCTCATGGTGGTCTACATGACCTCCATGGCATGCTCATTCTTTATGAGTCTGTGGTTCGTTTCTTTGAATTTCAGGTAACAAGAAATAACCGAACAATATAATAAAGATCTGCCAGGAAAATAATCCACATCTCAGTACTAAATTCAGCATGGTAAAAATTAAACAGCGAACTTAATCAGAATATAATCTTTCTTTGTTTTCTATTTTTATTCCCATATGAAAATGTGAGTTGGGAAGCTGAGTTTACTCCTTTTGGATCTGTTATGTTCAAAACCCAACAACATGATGTTCAAGGTGTCAGCCATTGCTTTTTTGTTTATTTGTTTATTTTAACCAAAAGAGGTTTTGGTTATGTCAACAAATGTTGGCCTATTTATAGAATTCAGCAGAGTCATCTGAAGACCACAAGAAGGGGTCATTGCAGGGAGATGAAAACATAGAGAAGTTTCACATAGGCCTACCTTGTGCCTAGTACAACCCCAAATCTTTTTCCTTGTGTTCCCTTTTTATTCCTCACAATAATTCAAATGCAATGCTGATTATATATGTATGACATCAAGCAGCTATAAAGTATCAGGAGCATGTATCCAGAAGTCTTGTGAGTTCTAATCCAGTGCTGTTTTTCTACCAAAAAGGGAAGAAAGAAAGTAAACACTGAATTCAGCTCCACTTTTTGCCAAATAGGTTAAATAAGTGGTATTGAAAGCGTGGTCCTTGAATGGCAGTATCAGTATCACTTAGGACCTTGTTGGAAATGCAGATTCTCACACCCATCCCAGACTGGATAGATAAGGCTGGGCCTTAGCAACCTGTGTTTTAAGAAGACCTCCAGGTAACCTTCATTCATCTTCCAAGTGAAGAAGCTCTGGTTGAATGATAGGTTCACCCAGGGCTGTGCAGTCTTTAAACAGAGTACGACTCCTAGAACTCACCCTTGAGATTCTGATTCATTTCTGGGTTGGGGTGAGACATTCTTGTTTTTAAAGTACCGCCGTCAATCCTTTCATCAGAAAAGTATGGATTTCCCTTACTGTCACTATTGCAGGCTGAGAGTTTTTTAAGACCATCATTCCAGTTCATGCCAAGAAGAAGGGGGTACAGCTCTAAGGGTTGATGAGAGCAATGTTGCCTGGCATTCCATTCACGTGTCTCGAATTGTCCTCAGATGTAAAGATAGAGTGCTTCTGTTATGAGGGGCGAGGTGGTCAGTTATTTTTCAATAGTACAAAACTTTAACACCTACCATATTGATGATAAAATCCATTTTTATCATCAATAAAATATTGATGTTAAGAGATATGATCTGATATTAAGAGATAAATTTTAAGATACTAGTGAATATTGTTAAACATTCATTAATAAGGGATCTACAACCCATATTTTCATTTTATATTAGTATATGTATAAGAACATTGTTCCACTGAAGTGGTAGTATAATTCTGCAGTCTAGTTTACAGAATCCTACATAACCTGAAAAATATCATATATAGGTATTATGTTTGCACTAATTCATCAAAACCTATCTTCTATTTATAATACTTTTCTGTGGGAAATTTCATTCTGTGTTTCCAATCAAGATGTCAAGAATTCGCCTCACTCAGCACCAGGCCCAGGAAAGGAAACTCTGATTAACACTCCTCTGAGGATAGTGGCAACAGTTTGCTGGGAAACAGAAATGGGTAGAGAGAAACTCACCCTTTATATGTGCATGAAAGCAGCCCTTCCCCACCCACCCACCCCCGCCCCCCCAGAGAGGTACAGAGGTAGTAAGTTGAGAAGTAAATTGCCTGTCAATATCAGAATCCAGGCATGTGTGCCTTTAAGGCTTAAAGAGAATTTGTGGGCCAATCACACCCTTCCTGGGGTGGGTGCCTATCTCCTAGGTAGTTCCTGCCTGTTAGGCTGTGACCTTGAATATGGTCAGGGATCTGACCCTTGTTCCTGCTTAGTTCGTGTTTGGTATTTCCTATGATAACATCCCAATATCTAAATGTGCATGCTCCTTACTTATGCCAGGTGTCAGCCACTGGCTTGACCTGGTTCCAGTTTGACTCCTGATTCAGTGTAGAATAACCTGTTGCAGTGCCCAATGGAGAATTCACAGGCCGTGGATCCTGAAAGCAGACTCTCGCCTTACCTAGCTAACCTTCTTAACCCTAAATCAGGCGATCCTGACACATGTCCACTCTGGATCCCTTCTTGTTCAGAAAGCAGTGGTTCCCAGATTTTATCATCTCTTTTATCAGCCATGTGGTTTTTGATATATATTATCACAATTAAACTATTATTTACCTTTTTTCACTAGATCAATCAATGTACTTTTTTTTCCACCTCATCCTAAGCAAAATAAGTATAAAATCACAAGTTGATGAGACAGTTGTTCATTTAATACATACTAAAATAACTATATAACCATTAAAATTATTTTGAAACTTAATTTATATTTGACCCCCAAAATCATCCCACATAACACCAGTGATATATGTCCCACTTTGAAAACCCTATTACAAGTGTTTCATTCAAGCTGCAAAAAAAAAACTTACTGGATTTCTCAGTGAAAGCCTAGAAGTCTTAAGCTTCCTTGGAGTACACAATCTAGTTGTCAGGATTGAGGAGTAAGCATTTACACCTAAGCAAGGCTAACTGCCCTCTATAACCTAAGGAGAGGAAGAGAAGCTGAGGGAGTTAACACTTCCTGTCATATGATAGATCCAGGCCAGGCCTTCCAATGAGTTAGTTCACTAAATCCACATTCTGAGGACTATTATCCAGAGTTCCCAGATGACAAAATAGAACTTCCACAAGGAGAGGAAAAAAAGCTTGCCCAGGCCTCCCTGGTGGTACAAGGGGTTAAAGCACAGAACTGTGAAGCTATCAGCAGCCACTGAAGCATGAGTTCAATCCCTGGCCAGGGATGTGGCCCACATGGCACAGCAGACCTCTCCTGCCTAGCCCACTGCTCCTATCAGCAGTGTATTTCAGTAGATCTGCCTGTTCTGCCCCCTACTCTTTCTCTGGTGAGTCCTCTTATCTCCCTCTCCTCTCCTCATATCTAGTCTGTACCACAGTTCTTATATGCATAAATAAATAAATCTTAAAAAAAAAAAAACTTGTCCATGGACACACATATCTGCCCCACCTTTGATTATTGTACACTCTGCCCTTGCTGTTGTTTAACCTACCAGACCCTTCTTTTTTCCTGGAATGTTTTATGTGTTATTACAATATAGAGGCAATAGTATTTCAGAGAGGTCAAGAAGCAAACCATACACATAATAGCTTTGATTTACGTTTTGTAAGGGTTGGCCAGTCATCCGTGATACTATTAAGAGTAATGTGCCTTCTCTTCTAAAATGAATATCTAAGAAACTTGAACACAAAACAAAGGATCTTAGGGCAGATGGTTGACAAAGAGCCAGAGAGTTTAATACCATCTGTCACAATTATCTGGGTTTAATAATTGCCCATAGTGACCCACAGAACGGTAGGAACTGGATATTTTATCTCCTTCCTTTAGCTTCTTATTCATGATAATCTATCTTTACTCCACACTGAGTTATATTTTAATAATAAAAAAAATATTACTCTAGCGGGGATTACAGTTGAGATGGGGAAAAAATGTACAAAATGATGTAAAAATAAACTGTTATAAAATTTAAAAAAATATATTACTCTAAATTTTCTCAGTAGACAGCTGACAAGCTTTATGATTGAAATGAAGTGAGATCAGATGGGACAGACAAATGGATGAAATAAACTGATTTTTTACTTAATAGCAAAATTACCTCTCTGGATATCTAATGTTTCCTTTGTGATCCTAATCAGAATTGTTGTCTGTGGCTTCAAAGTTATGGGGTTTCCCAGGTTATAGCAAAGTAATAAAAGGAAAATACAGATTTAAAAAATAAAATTTGTTACTAATTCTTTGAATATGGAGGTTGTGGTAAACAGATAGTAATTCTTAGAAACTGAATTGCAGCTCTACTGGTCCTAGTTAAGAAATACCAAATGCTACCAGGAAGCATATAACAAATAGTCACTGTTGGAAGGAAACTACCAGGCTTCATGGTTCTCACCCTGTGTATGGTGGCCTCTCTAGCCTTGTCGCCAATGATTTCTATGAATTAGACGCCCAGTAACTGAGAATCTGACAGTGAAACTATCCTTTGTGGCTGTGTGGTCTGTGAGAAAATGTCTTTAAAATGTTAGAGTGCCTTTCCAACTTTCCCATTGGTTACTCTATTGGTGTTTACCCACAAGCAAGCTTTCTCCTCGGTGACGTCAGGAAAATGAGGTCCTTAACTGGCCGATTTGAACATTATCATGCTATGAGAGGAAAGCAGGCCACTTGCCTGGTTGTGCAGATTTCTTATC